GGGCAGATGTCATTGTTTTTATGACTATTGTTATTGGGGTCTCCAAGATACGTGCTCCCTTGTGGTGAATCTGACACCAGTTTTGATTTGTCTCAAGATCTGTCACTCAAGCAGTAGATGCTTTTGTACCACACGTTCAGTAACATACATGGAACACACGGTGATGTTCCATTTGCATTCCTCTTGCTGGCCCCCCAGCACCTTTATTCCCCTCTGTTAATGCAGTAAAATCTCACGTATTCACATCTGTAACGAAATGTGTAGAATTGTTTAGCATTTGTCTTTTCCTCTAGCCTGTGAGCACCATGTGGGTAGGACTGGATCTGTCTTGTTCCTAGCAACCTTGGCATTTAGTACAGGGTTTGGCATGCATCCATCCAACAAATACTTTTTATTTGTATGTTCTAGGTAGTATACTAAGTGTGGTGCATGTGTGTGCATGCACATAAAACACACTGAAATAGCCCACAAATGATTGCTCAGCCTGAATTAGTAAAAACCCTGAATTTTCCCCATACTTTTCAAGGGCCTAAACAGAAACAAATTTGAGCTGAATAAAGCATTGTTTAGATAGGTTCTTTTCAGGGCCTGTTTAATTATTAGATAGGTATTATTTTCACTTAAAATTAAAATGGTTGTCCATATTCATTCATTAAACATACATTTACGAGCACCTCCTATGTTCCAGGGAATATAGCAGAACAAAATAGACCAAAAACAAACAAACAAAAACATAATAAAAACCTGCCCTTGTAGAGCTTGCATCCTATTAGGGGAGACAACTAAGTGAAATAAATCAAATGTCCATGCACATAAACTGAGGGAGAGGGACAGGGAGAGGAAAGGTTGCCTCACTGCTTGCCACAGGGATTATAGCTGGAGGTGAGAGATGGCCTGGAGGCTGGGCTTCTTCTATGGTAAGGGTCTTAACCGGGCATGCAAAGTCCTGGGGTTCCCACCTTATGCTTGCCACTGGTGTTGTATGGCTCAAACCGTGAGTGTTGGTGTAGAACCCATGCCCCCTGGGTGTTTAAATGGACTTTGTATAAAAGGGGAAGCATAGATCTAGTCATTAGGAGTTGTTCCACTTTACAGTTCCATTGTTCTGTGTAGATTCTAACCTGGAACCGTCTTATAGCTCCTAAAATAAGGCCTAATTGATGGTACCAGGCAGATTTCCATCATGATTAAGAACAAAGACTTTGAATCAGACCTTGATTCAAAAGGCAGATCTAGCTGTGTGTCTTTGGGCAGGTTACAAAACCTCTCTGTGCCTTAGTTTTCCATATCTATAAAATAAGGAATCATCAATCCTACTTCATAGTATTGTTATAAGGATTAAATGAGATAAAGCATGTAAAATACAGGGCCTAGAACAGTGATGGCGAACCTATGACACGTGTGTCAGAGGTGACACGCGTGTCAGAGGTGACACGCAAACTCATTTTTTTGGTTGATTTTTCTTTGTTAAGTGGCATTTAAATATATAAAATAAATATCAAAATATAAGTCTTTGTTTTACTATGGTTGCAAATATCAAAAAATTTCTATATGTGACATGGCACCAGAGTTAAGTTAGGGTTTTTCAAAATGCTGACATGCCGAGCTCAAAAGGTTCACCATCACTGGCCTAGAATATACTAAGCTTCCCATAGACAGTAGTTATTAGCACTATTAAATGTTACCGAATGAATGAATGAATGAATAGAATTCCTGAAGTTGATATTAAACCTCGGATAGGCATAGATGTGTCATGAACTGCAAAGTGCTGTGATGCTATGTTATCTATATCCTGTCCTCTGTCCCACATACACAATTAGTGATGGATTGATTAAAGAATTGTCTTTTTATTTCACCTCCATATTCTGGGGATATCATTTTGAGGCTTTCTAATGTGGCTACATTGGGCCCCAATATGCCAGGTGTTTGGAGAACAGATTCCTTATAAACAGTTCACAGTCCCAAATTCTCAAGATTCCCAATGAATGAAATATGATTGGCCAATGCAGAAGAGTACAAGCTAATGGTGATAAAAATATCAACTGACAGTTATTGAAAACCTACCATGTGCCAAGCATATGTGTCCGGCCACATACAACCCCTTTCTGCCCCTGAGAAAACTGAAGCTCGGGGTAGTAAGAAAAAGTCAACCACTGGTAAGTTATAGGGCAGTGATGGCGAACCTATGACACGCGTGTCAGAGGTGACACGCAAACTCATTTCTTTGGTTGATTTTTCTTTGTTAAATGGCATTTAAATATATAAAATAAATATCAAAAATATACGTCTTTGTTTTGCTATGGTTGCAAATATCAAAAAATTTCTATATGTGACACGGCACCAGAGTTAAGTTAGGGTTTTTCAAAATGCTGACACGCTGAGCTCAAAAGGTTCGCCATCACTGTTATAGAGGCAGGAATGGACTCCAGAGCAGTTTAAACCCTTCCCACCTACTGCCTCAAGCTGTCCCTTCACTACATCAGGTGACCAAGCCTCAAGGTTCCCACTCCCCTCTGTTAAGATGTGTGTGTGTTTTGCATGGGGTGTGATTGTTGTTTCTAAGTCTCCAGTCTTAATGAGATTGCCTTATATGGAAACTTAAGTGAAAATGTAGTTCTCAACTATGAGGGAACCAGTCAGAATCCAGGGAGGGGCCTTCGTTAATGCTTGATTTAAATATAATGCCAGAGACTCATACAGTGGGTCAGAGACTATAATAAGCTCCCGTTTTTCTGTTTAAATGGTTTTTGGTTGTTTTTTCCTTTTAATCTCAAGTTCAATTCTGATTGATTAATTGTTTTTGCTGTTCTCTTAAATGGTTCTGTGAAAAGAAGTATTTTTGGTTCGGCTGGTGGGTTGATTTAGCAAGGTTTGAAAGAGAGCTCGATATCTTAGGTTTTCTATCTGGAATTTGATGGTACTGCGAGTGCATTGAGCAGGCAGGAAAAAGGAAGTTTTGGAGGACAAGTTAACTCAGTAACCTACAGGCTGCTGTTTGTATCACAATTTTAGGCTGAACCAAACACTTACTAAGTAGGCCATACTCGGTCACCATTGTTGGGGGTCCAAAATAATAAAATATTGGTAAAGATGTATAGCTTGACATCATATATGCTAAGCACTCAGAAGGCAAAGAATTCATTAATTTAGCTGGCTTTGGTTCCAATCAAGCAACAAATATTTATTGAACATTTGTGAGTAAAACTCTCAGTACAAAGACAAGAAAAACCAAAATCCTGCCTCTAAGTTCACATCCTAGTTGTGGTAAGACAAACCTGTGGGTTATTAAATAATAAGGCGAGAGTCCCTGAGCACATGCTAGATGAATGAGCCAGACCAAGTGTGATGGGGCTTCAGAGAAAGATCATTTGGGGCTAAAATAATATGTAAAAGATGAGGCATTTGAATCAGTGAGGAAGGAATGATCAAGCAGAGCTTAGACTTGGGATAACAAGATATATTCTGTACATTCAATTTGAACCAGAGAAGTTCAAAATCAAGGTAATGCAGCTTATGACAGGCTCAATATCAAACTGTAGAGCTGTCTTTTATTCCTGTAAGTGGAAATTAGCTGAAGCAATAAAGACATGGTAAGTGCCTGGCTGGGTATTGGAGCAAACGAACAACATACAGGGTGGGGCAAAAGTAGGTCTCAGTTTATTCTAGTTTTTTTTTTTAATATATTTTTATTGATTTTTACAGAGAAGAAGGGAGAGGGATAGAGAGTTAGAAACATGGATGAGAGAGAAACATCGATCAGCTGCCTCCTGCACACTCCCTACTGGTTATGCGCCCACAACCAAGGTACATGCCCCTGACCAAAATCGAACCCGGGCCCCTTGAGTCCACAGGTCGACGCTCCATCCACTGAGCCAAACTGGTCAGGGCTATTCTAGTTTTTGTGTGTGTGTGTGTGTAGGTGTTTTTTTTAAATCTCACCCCAGGACATTCTTGGAGCGAGAGAAACATTGATCCCTTGCCTTCCATACGTGCCCTGACCCAAACCCACAACCTTTCAGTGCACAGGATAATGCTCAACCAATTGAGCCACTCCAGGCAGGCTATTCTTATTTATTTATTGTATTTTTCATACAAACAACTATAAACCTACCTTTGCCCCATCCTGTATACAAAGGACATTGTAGCCACAGTTCAGTAACTTGCCCTAGGTCACACACTAGTAAATGACAGCAAAGCCCCATTATTAAACACAACAATCCAGGAAATATAAAAAACATGTCCATACAAAAACTTGTACATGAATGTTCATAATAGCCAAAAGGTAAAAACAACCCAAATGTCTATAAACGAATGAACTGGTAAAGAGAATGTGGTATGTCCATACAATAGAATATTTATTCAGCTGTTAATAGAAATGAAGTACTGATACATGCTATAGCCTGGCTGAACCTTGAAAACATGATGCTAAATAAAAGAAATCAGACACAGAGGACCACATATTCTATGGTTCCATTTATAGGTAATTTCATAGAACCAGAAAATAGATTAGTGGTGGCCTAGGGTTATAGGGGTGGGGAATGGGGAGTAACTGCTAATGGGCATGGAGTTTTTTTGAGGGGGTAAAGGAAAATGTTCTAAATTTAGATTGGGGGGATGGTTTCATGATTATGTGATTATACAGAAAACCACTGAACTGCAATCTTTAAATGAGTAAATTTTATGGTATACAAATTATATCTTAATAAGGCAGTAAAAAATTTTTAATTTAAGCATCTAAGACCACTCCAGGTTTTGGTATATACAGTGGCACCAGAAACAAGGGGGAATGTGAAACAGAGTTAGGTGCATAGACCTGGAGCTCGGAAATGGTCAAAGCCAGATGAATGGATGGGACAGGCCAGTCCTCACATCGGAAGAAAAATACAGAAACCAGTGACAGCTTTTTCTGCTGCCAAAGAGCTGACAGTTCTCTGTTATCATCGGACTAACATGTTGGTAAGAATGGGCTAAATTTGTCTTCTTTTGCTTTTGTTCTACAGTTTTTGAGGAGCCGGAAGATCCAAGCAACCGGTCGTTTTTCTCTGAAATTATCTCTTCGATTTCGGATGTGAAGTTCAGCCACAGTGGGAGGTACATCATGACCAGGGACTATCTGACCGTTAAAGTCTGGGATCTCAACATGGAAAACCGCCCCATCGAGACTTACCAGGTACAGACCACCCTCCACCCATGGGTGTATCGCACACTTCCACTGTAGGCTTCCAAGTCAGCCTCTGCCCACAAGGGCTTATCACAACACAGAAAAATTAAAGTGGTATATCCTGTGGGAACCACAGGATTTAAGAGGAGCTGCATATGGAGGGGCTAGAACTTAATCCTTATCTACTGAGCACTTACTGTGTGATGGATACCGTAGATTCAGATGTGGTCCTGCTCTCCTGACAGTCTGGTAGAGAAGTGAGATGACAAGCAGGGAATTGAGTGTACGGTGATGATACTGAGGGCCACCTGGGGAGAGAGGCTTTCCTAAAGAAGCAACCCTTCATCTGAGTCTTGACTCCATGAACTAGCCAGAAAAATTGTGTTCTTAGAATAGGGTGTTGAAAGGCCTGGAATCAAGAGGAACACGGTGTGTTCAGAAAGGAACTCTCTGCATCTGGAATATGGAACACAGGGGCAGAAAGAGCTTGGAGAGTAGGCTCTGGTAAAGTAGATTAGGGTATTTTGTCTTTAGTCTGAGTACAATGGAGAGCCATTAAAAAGTCTTACACAGGAAATGCCATTGTGAATTTTGTGTTTACCATGTGTTTTATAGTTCAACTTGCCAAACGGATTGAAGGAATTTAGGGAGGAGGCAATGGTGGCATGCAGGTGGAGAAGGCGGGAGGATGGAGAGTCTGTGAGGTTTGCTAACTGATTGGGTGTGGAGGGAAGAGGAGTCAGGAAGGCTATGTAGAGGTTTGTAGACTTACTGACAAAAAGAGACAGTATTGTTTAGAATGGTTGGCTGCTGTTGTTTTAAAGAGGAAGACTAGACTTTGAGGTAGAAAGGATTTGCAGAAGCTAATTCTAGGCAAGAGTACAATGGAAGCAAAGGTCAAGAGGCAGGAATAAACTAGTCTTAAAGATTTCTTGGATTAGATAAAAAGAAGTGAGGAAATTCTAGACAGAGAAATTTGGTTTACATATTTCTTCTTGAGATATAATGCGCATGCCATATTCACCTTTTCATAGTGTACAATACAGAGGGGTGGTCTGTGCCCAAAGTTGTGGGACTAACATTTTAAAATAAATATTCTGGGGAGAGACCAAGATGGCGGCATAGGTAAACACCGCAGACTGCTGCCGCAAACAACCACTTCAAAAATACAACTAAAAGACGGAACGGACATCACCCAGAACCGCAGGAAGGCTGGCTGAGGAGAGACTCTTCAACTAGAAGGAAAAATAACAGCACACCGAGGCTCAGAGGAGGCGCAGTGTGGAAAATACTCAGGTGCGGAGGTGCGCGCGCAAAGCGGGCTGGTGGCTGAGAGCGCGGTTGTCGTTTTCGGTCAGGGGGGAGTCTCAGACTCTGAGCTCCAGATACGGGCGAATCGCTGGGGACTCAAACGGGAGAAGTGGGAGTGTCTGGCATCAGTTGGAAGGCAGCTTTCCCTCCGAGGTTTGCAGCGGTTCCTGGGGTTCTGAGAAGCAGAGCCTCTGGGAACGGGACTGAGAGGGGCCATAACCGCTCCCTCCGCCCGCCCTGTTGAGCCCGCCCCGCCCAAGCCCTGCGCAGAGCCATTTGCCAGATCGCCTCAGGCAAAGGCTAGATTAGCACCTCCCCAGAGGACAGAAGTTTTCCGCGGCAGACACAGCTGATTCACACAGCCAGTCGGCCTGGTGGTCAAATCCCTCTAGTATTAACTACAACAATCAAGGCTCAACTAGAACAAGACTGCGCACAAAGACCACTAGGGGGTGCACCAAGAAAGCATAAAAAATGCGGAGACAAAAAAACATGACAGAAATGGAGGATATAGAGCTAAAAAACGCAATTTTGAGGGCTTGCAATAAACTTTTGGAGAGCTTCACGAAAACTAATGAGACCCTCGATGCTATGATAAAGAAACTAGAAATTAAGCATACACGCTCTGAAATAAAGAATATTACACCCAATAGCAGACCAGAGGAGCGCAAGAATCAAGCCAAAGATTTGAAATGCGAAGAAGCAAAAAACACCCAACCGGAAAAGCAAAATGAAAAAAGAATCCGAAAATACGAAGATAGTGTAAGGAGCCTCTGGGACAGCTTCAAGCGTACAAACATCAGAATAATTGGGGTGCCAGAAGATGAGAGACAGCAAGATATTGAAAACCTATTTGAAGAAATAATGGCAGAAAACTTCCCCCACCTGGTGAAAGAAATGGACTTACAGGTCCAAGAAGCGCAGAGAACCCCAAACAAAAGGAATCCAAAGAGGACCACACCAAGACACATCATAATTAAAATGCCAAGAGCAAAAGACAAAGAGAGAATCTTAAAAGCAGCAAGAGAAAGAGACTCAATTACCTACAAGGGAATACCCATACGACTGTCAGCTGATTTCTCAACAGAAACTTGGCAGGCCAGAAGGGAATGGCAAGAAATATTCAAAGTGCTGAATACCAAGAACCTACAACCAAGAATACTTTATCCAGCAAAGCTATCATTCAGAATTGAAGGTCAGATAAAGAGCTTCACAGATAAGGAAAAGCTAAAGGAGTTCATCACCACTAAACCAGTATTATACGAAATGCTGAAAGGTATCCTTTAAGAAGAGGAAGAAGAAAAAGGTAAAGATACAAATTGTGAACAACAAACATGCATCTATCAACAAGTGAATCTAAGAACCAAGTGAATAAATAATCTGATGTACAGAATGAACTGGTGATTATAATGAATCAGGGACATAGAAAGGGAATGGACTGACTATTCTTGGGGGGGAAAGGGGAATGGGAGATGCGGGAAGAAACTGGACAAAAATCGTGCACCTATGGATGAGGACAGTGGGTGGGGAGTGAGGGCGGAGGGTGGGGCGGGAACTGGGAGGAGGGGAGTGCATTTATCATTCTTCTAAATTTAACTTTGCACAAGTAACCCATGTAAAAAATCTATATTTTTCAAAACTTGTAAATAAAAATAACCTTAACTAAATAAATAAATAAATAAATAAAGTGTACAGTTCTATGTTGCTTAGATTTAATTAAATAAAAAAAAATAAAAATAAAAATAAAAAAATAAAATAAAATAAATATTCTGGTTGTGCTGGGGATGAGACAGAGAATAGGTATGAGGTTATTGCAACATTCTGGCAAGGGTTGTAAGTAACTTAGATGACAGTATTAGCAATGGAGGTGGTCAGAGTCTTGGTATATATCCAAGGTAAAACCAGTAGGATGGGATGTAAGAGAAAAAGAAGCACCCAGGATCACTCCCAAGATTTTTATGCTGAGCAAAGTTGAGTTGCATTTTATTTGGATGGGAAGTCAAGAGTTTGGCTTTGGACATTTTTAATTGGCTCAACATCCAGAAATTGCAAGTAGGCAGCTTAGTATGAGTCTGGATATATCTTGCCTAGAGAAAAACATTGGACACTTATGAGTATATTGAGGGTATTTAAAGCCTGAGAAAAGAAAGTGGATTTGGCAAGAGAGCTTGAGAAGAAGTGGCCGGGCAGGTAGGAGAAAAACAGAGGAATATCCTAGAAGCCAAGAGCAGAAACTGTCCCAAGGAGGGAGTCATCAGCTGCTGTTGCTGAATCAAGTAAGGACTGAGACGTGTTCCTTGGACTTAGTGATGTAGAAATTCTCGGGAACCTCCATGAAAGAGGTGTAGGTGGGTGATGGATGAATGTCTGATTGGAGTGGGTTCAGGACGGACTCTGAATAGAGGACGTGGACATAGTGAATACAGATAACTCTTTCAAGAAATTTTATTCTGAAGGGGAACAGAAACATGGGATACAGTCTTAAAGAAGTTTTATGCCAATAAGAAGAAGCCAATGGAGAGGGAGACAGCTAAAGGAACAAAGTCCTTGAGGGAAGAGTCCATTGCAAAATTGGCCTTAGAGGGGAAGATGGATAATTCTTCCATCAAAAAAAGAAGAGTGCAGTAGGCTTGTAAATTATGTGATGGAACTATAGACAGTTTCTTATGTCGATTTTCTCAGTAAAATACTCATGAGAGAGAGTGAATTGACTAGGGAAATGTAGGGTTACGCAGGGATCTACTTGAGGTTTATATTATTGATTTTAAGTAGGCTACCTGTAGGATTGTGTGTTCCTTCCCAGCCACATTCACCTGCTTAGTACAGGTAGGGAAGGGCAGGAAGTTAGATTTAACTAGTGATGGGGTTTTTGCCAAAATGAGTACAGTGGAAAGGGAAAGAAAAGCAGGTTTGTTGAAGGTTTATAGTAAGAGAGTGGTTATAATGATGGACCACTGAATCGAAGGCAGTAAGGAGGAAAATAGATCAAATCAGGAAGTAGCAATAGAGTAATAGTTGTTAAAGGAATGACCAAGGGCAAAACTAATTGAAAATGATGATGCTGAGAGACCAGAATGATGGCGGGAATAGTGATGGAGAGGCTCAGGGAGAGACCAAGATGGCGGCATAGGTAAACACCGCAGACTGCTGCCGCAAACAACCACTTCAAAAATACAACTAAAAGACGGAACGGACATCACCCAGAACCACAGGAAGGCTGGCTGAGGAGAGACTCTTCAACTAGAAGGAAAAATAACAGCACACCGAGGCTCAGAGGAGGCGCAGTGTGGAAAAAACTCAGGTGCGGAGGTGCGCGCGCAAAGCGGGCTGGTGGCTGAGAGCGCGGTTGTCGTTTTCGGTCAGGGGGGAGTCTCAGACTCTGAGCTCCAGATACGGGCGAATCGCTGGGGACTCGGACCCAAACGGGAGAAGCGGGAGTGTCTGGCATCAGTTGGAAGGCAGCTTTCCCTCCGAGGTTTGCAGCGGTTCCGGGGGTTCTGAGAAGCAGAGCCTCTGGGAACGGGACTGAGAGGGGCCATAACCGCTCCCTCCGCCCGCCCGCCCTGTTGAGCCCGCCCCGCCCAAGCCCTGCGCAGAGCCATTTGCCAGATCGCCTCAGGCAAAGGCTAGATTAGCACCTCCCCAGAGGACAGAAGTTTTCCGCGGCAGACACAGCTGATTCACACAGCCAGTCGGCC